ATGTGAAACTTTACACAAGGAGGAGCCCTGAGCAAGAAATTCAAATGTCCCAGTTTATTCCCAAGATCCAGAAAGGAGGGACGGAGAGAAGCCTTCTGTTCATTTAATTTGCTGGTAATTGTCATATTATCTTTTAAGCAACACCCTTCTCGCTGGTGAAATGCTGGTTGGCCTATAAACTTTCATACGTGTTTTTCTCAGTGGCAGCTTGAAATACAGCGCATTTATCAAAGTGAAAAATATCTCTCCCGTTTTCAGGAAACACCATGAAAAGTGTCCTTTGGATTAAGCGAGGCCTCTGGTTAAATTCAGAGAAACCTTCTTAGGGACGCGAGTTACCTTCCACGTGACCAGGCTTATGTCTCGTTGGCCACATGCAGGATGAGAGGGCTCAGCGAGGCCAGCTCTGCGGGTGCTGATCAGGAATACACCCATCTTGGACCTACTAAGCGCGCATTCACCTACTAAGCGTGTGTTCACCTACTAAGCACGTGTTCACCCACTAAGCGCGTCTTCCTCAGTCTGAGTCAACAACAGAAGGGAGAAAGGTTTTCTCAGGCCTTTTCCTCTGAAGGGACTAAACCAGAGATTGAATGCCACCCCTTCCGTAGTTTCCCAAATAGTTTCAAAGCAAGAGAACTTTAATCAATGGTGCTTCAAAGTTCAAGGGGACACTGTCATCCTTGACTTCCCTCCACACATTTCCTAGAGGCGGAGGGGCGGGGGGGCTTTATGTGGGGAGCAGACCTTCCCCCCTTTTCCTTTTATGTCCTGATGCAAGGAATCCATTTCAAGGATGGAAACTCTGGGAAGGTGTAGCCATTACTCAGGGCACAGCATGCGGACTCCTGCTGGGAGACCCTACCTTTGCAAAGCCCTTCATTTGAGTCAACCCCAGCCAACAGCTGGTGTGTGACCCAGTACCACTGGGATATTTTTGTAGGATTCAACACTCTCAATCTATATAAAAGGTTAACATGCTAAGTGTCCGACTGTCTGACCAGTTGCTATGATGCACACTGACCACCAGGGGGCAAACGCTCAACACAGGAGCTGCCGTGACGTGCACCACCCATTTATAGAGAAATGCCACCGCGGAGCTGGCGCCCACAAAGCAACACTTGGCTTCCCCCAAATGGGACACAGGCCTCACCACCACCCTGGAGTGACAGCTCACCAAATCGCAGCCGACACTGCCAAGAACCCATGGAGCAAAATACAGCCCACAGCCCAGCCCAGCCCAGAATGGTCACTGTGGTCACTGTGGGCGCTGGGTAATGACGTCACCTAGCAACACCCAGCTTCCTCTCCCTAGCAACTAGCCTCCTTGGAGTTTCTTCAGCCCAGAAACAGGACTTGCTTTACACCCTTTGTTCTCCCTGCGTGATCTACAATGATAATCTGCTTCGTGTTGATATTTATATAACTTGCTGTGTTGCTGACAATTACCTAAAAGGGAAGTTGGGGTGCTTCACTGGGCTGGGAAAAGTTTAGCCAAATCAGAAAGCAGGTCTAATAAGCAAGTTTATTCTGTATAAACTATATATATATTCTCTATATAAAAGGCTAAGTTGACTCCCCCATGCACGACACACATAAAGCTCTCGCTGGCGCCAATCGCACGCGTGTGTTTCCATCTGTCATTGTCGGTCGTGAATTTGGTTGACACGTCTATTATAGAGAAAGGGCAGGTAGTGATATTAAAGTATTTCTTCTAATTAATTTCCTTTCAATGTGCACAAATTTGTGTGCCGGCCACTAGTAATTTATAGTATCTAGAAAGAACATCAGTTAAGAACCAGGTGACCTGCCCAGCTGGTGTGGCTGGGGGGTTGACCATCGACCTATGAACCAGGAGGTCACAGTTCAATTCCCGGTCAGGGCACAGGCCTGGGTTGTGGGCTCGATCCCCAGTGTGGAGCATGCAGGAGGCAGCCGGTCAATGATTCTCTCTCATCACTGATGTTTCCATCTCTCTCTCCCTCTCTCTTCCTCTCTGACATCAATACAAATGTTTTTTTAAAAAGACCCTGAACCAGCCCCGAGCAGGCCTCCCCTCGCCTCCGTGTCTCAATTCGCAGTCGCCTGCCGGGGACAGTCCAGCCTCCTCAGAGCCCACACAGCCCCGTCCGAACCGGCTCCTGCTCAGCCTTAAGCGTCTCTTCTCACGGTGGCTCATCCAACCTTCACCACGCGCACGTCGCAGTGAGAGCCGTAAATATTAAGTGGCGATTGCCAAAATGTATTAATTACAAGAGGACACGCAGCTGTAGAGAGAAACACAGAGCGTGGAAACATGGGGTATGGAAGAGTCCAAACAGAAGAGAGTCCTTAACGTTAATTGTGAAGTGAAAGGAAGACTCGCTGACAAAACCGTAGCTCAGCCGTGGCCGGAGGCCCGAGCCGGAACTAGCCTGAGCGTCTCACAGGGAGTGGGATGGAGCACGTGCGTCACGCAGGCGGGCTGGGGTCAGACGTGAGGCCAAAGGGCTCAGGGCTCCTGGGCAGGGGCCAGAGGAGGGGCGGTGATGAGGGGAGAGGGGAGGTCGCAGACGGGGCCACGTGCAGACCTGCAGGTGCTGGGAACCTAAATTGATAAAAATATATTTGTTTAATAATTATTTTTATTATTTTTTAAATTCTTAGCTGAGGATGTTTATTGATTTGAGAGAGAGAGGGAGAGAGAAACGTTGATCAGGTGCCTCCCGCACATGCCCCGACCGGATCAAACCCGCCACCTTCCCGTGTAGTGACGATGCCCCAACCTCCTGAGGCAGCCACACGTTGTCATTGACCGAAGCTCACAGTTATTCGCACGCTCTTGCTGGTTCCTCGCTCTGTGCTCAGACCCCACCCTGGGCACCGGGACCTTCAGCTCTAAGGTTCTGGGCTCCTCCCGGCCGTGACCTTCCTCGAGCGTTCCCGCACTCGGTGACCTTGACTCTGAGGGGCATGCGCACCGCTCAGTGGGTCGGCCGCCCTCCTACGCAATGTCTCCTGTTCCCCTGCTGGTTCCACGAGGCTGTGGCTGGGGAGACGGTCCCAGAGGTGAGACCTCTGCTCCCATCACCTGCAGGGGAGCCGCCCCGCCCTCTGTGGCATGAGGAGGCCTCAGTCCGGCTGGGACCCGCTGTCAGGATTTCGGGCTTCTCACCGAGAGGTGGCCCTCGCTCTCCCGCGGCCCCTCCAGGGAGGTCCCTGCACAGCCCACCCTCAGGGAGGGGGCTCCAGGCATCAGGTGGGAATCTCCTGCACGGCTTGCCTTCCCCTCTTACTCACCCATGAACCACCTGTTCACATCCGTCCGGACTCGTGACCGTGCATCCCGTGCTCCGCGCCGTAAGCTGCAGCACCGGCCGGTTTTGCTCATTTTCCCTTTGGGTCTGGGGATCCTCCCGTCCCTCCCACACAGGTTTGCGCTGCAGCCCGAGCACATACAGCACAGCCCTTCCCCTCTTCCCAGCAGCACAGACGGGGTTCATGCCCGGCTGAGAGGGGTGAACCCAGACGCAGCCTCAGGCCGCGGTGCCCGAGCCGCACTGCCCAGCACACACGCTGCCTTTTCTGCGTTTGGTTAACTTCACGGGAAAGGCTCCGTCGGCCTTAAAAACGCAGGAATTTGTCTCCCAGAAGGAATCCCAGCAGCACCCCTGTCCTCATTGCAGGCGGGTGGGGGACGGTCGGTTCCCCTGAGGCTCCCCTGAAAGTTCGTTCCACGGGAAAGGCGGGCCCAGAACCCGGGCCCCCACCGGCTCCCTGGGTCCCCTGCACCCCGAGCTTTTACTTCTTTGTGGTTGAAAGTGTCACACGTGTCCCCTCCCGCACTGACCTCTCCTGCACTCTTTCTTGGGGACACAAAGCCGGAGGCGGGGCACCGGGCGGGGAGCGCTCCCAGCGGAGTCACAGGAATGAAATTCTGTGCTGTTCGTTGTGTGTTCGTGGTAAGAAAAGGAGATAGACACGCCTGTCTCCCGCAGACAGAAGCCACAGGACCCGATTCAGGGAGACCCTTTATGGGGGACGCCCCAGGGGAGAGACATTTAATGAGGATCATCAGGGAGACCCTTTATGGGGGACGCCCCAGGGGAGAGACATTTAATGAGGATCATCCGGTGGTGGCCTGGGAACAAAGGCTGCCCATAGGTGATCTCACCTCCCAACGTGCCCAGGGGGTAGGAGGGGGAGGAGAGGAGGGAGGGGGGAG